ATCCTTGGTAATGTATATGAAACTTGGTATGGAACAAGGAACATCCTGAAATTTCGAGTTGCTACTTCAATTTACTAAAATAATCGAAAAGCAGTGGACAAATAAACCACAAAAGACCACCACATTCTAAATGACTTCTAAACGGACTCTCTCGAACAAAGTGCTTTGACGCGGCAATCGCCAGGATGATCGGAAGCGAGAGCATTAAATCTGTAGGAAGCACTTCATTCTTCCACAACTATTTCTGTCATGGATTTTTTGGCTTCAAAACAAATAAGGAGGTGTTGAAAAAGAGTGTTCTTCAACGCAATACTGAAAAGAGGGAAAATAAACAGCTAAGGCGAATACGCTCTTTTTAAATAGCAGTACAGGTTTTGTCCTAGTGAGTTGTTCTGGAGTCAAAAGCAAACTGAAATCTCTTTAAAAACCAATGAAAAGCGATATAAATGGCTAAAAATGAAAACCAGATTCTCGGCGCAACATGGACTTTCGCCGAATTTTTCTTTTCGCGGCAGATAGGATAGCTTATTAAGAAGAATAAAATCTGCTGCTTCATTTTCCTAGGAAAAAAACGTTGACGAACGAACCCACTGGGACTGACGCTGCCATAACACATGCGTTTTCTAAACGCTCAACCAAGGTAATAGACTGGATCCACGACATTTTGCTTGAGAAAACGAAGAGCCTTTAATGCTCATTCAGTGCTTTATTTTTAAGTGAGATTTAGCTGTTTTTACAAAATAAATATGCCAACAACTAGCTGTGCAGAATGCAACCGACTTGTTAAAAATGTTCGTGTTCAGCAACCATGTCGAATACGTAACTGTCATCACAGCAGATTTGAAATGAGGAGACTGGTAGACTAATCATGGTGAGAGCTGGTACGTCGTGTGTCTGACGCTATCGTTGTTTTTGTTTCCGAAATGGCGACATTCATCAAATTTCGAGACGATTCGAAATAATGGTTTAGGAAAATTGATTAGAATACTTTCTTTGTTTCTCTAAGCTGCATCTATATGTTTCTCTTCTATTCATTTGTCATGCGTTACGATTTCCGCAGTGATAGATTCATTATTCGTTTTCTGAGCGGATGTACTGCATCGCTCAACGTTGTGCCACCGTAGCGCCGTCGTATTCAGGTGCGTCAGTGCTATTTGTCACAATGGATCCGCTTCTGACTCAAATGCAGCTCCATTGTCCGTTCCCAAATTCTCCAGCTAGCCGCTATAAATACGGACATTGAAGCGTGGCTAGAATTTCACGGTAACAGTAATCTAACTCAGCCGCGATGACTGTTGCTTCAACTTCCTTATTTGCCGTTGTATACGTCGGTGTGTTTATACATACATTATACTAAATTAGATAAGTCTTTCAACTTTTCACGAAGCAATGAAAGGTTTGCACACTTTTAACAAGCTGCTGTTGAGTATAAATTGACTTTTCCAGGCAGAATTCTTCCATTCCTTTCCCACACATCCGGCAATACATCGAAGAAAAATTAATCGCTGTGGGACGAAAGATTCAAACATGTTTTTTTGTGGAACATGATAATAACAAGAAAGCTGAAATTCATAGAATTACGAAATCGTTGCATATTCAAGTCAATCATTGATAATCTACTCGTTAAATCACAGATACCAATTGTTCCCCGGACCACTGATCTATTCTTTATCATTAAGCCTACTGATTGCTTTGCTTATTTACGCCGTCCACCGTATTTAACAAATATTGCAATTTGAAGGAGCGAACTTTACCATGATTTTTATTTTGGTGACTAGTCCGCTTTGCATGGAACCGTCTAACGCAACGGTTAGAGGAACCCAACAATGGAAATGGATTCGTTGGTTCGATCACACGGTCGGAAACTATGTCTGCATCCCTATGGGGTCTGAATTGCAGTAGCACACTTGTCTCGGAAGACTGGAACCGTAGCAGCTTGGTACACCGACATATTCCCGCAATATTCCCGCTAATATGCCATAAATGCATTCAACTACATCAGAGATGTGTTTGAATACATGACGCATCTTTAAGATCAGTCAGCACTAGACGCCCCCTGTGCTTCGTTATTTTTATTCTCCTATGCACTTATTAAAACAAATATTTCCTGTTATAAATTATTTCCAAAAGATAAGGCTAGAGTGAGAACTGACGTGATTAATTTTAAACCGACTTTCATATAACCACGGTAAAATTGGCCAATGTACCTCGTTTCATTGATAAACTGACACGAGATTTTTACCAAATATTTATTCGGCCAACGCTTTGACGTCTTCGACTTTATCAGATCCGATTCGATGGCGCACAGGCGTTCGTCTCTTCGATGTGTTGCCTTTGTCGTCTTATTGCGTCGGATTTTCTTCAGTGAAGCACAGCTCATGTGAGGCAACCCCACTCAGCAGCGCTCTCCTACACAGGGCAATTCTTGTTGTTAATGATTACTCGTTGGTAATAGTTCATTCTCCAAAGAATAATCCATCCTAAGATGATTGGCGTTGTCCGTTGAATCTACCACACATTCTTAAACGATACTGGAAATTAAGTGAAATATGATACGCAGTAGCAACTAACAAAAGCCATTTCAGCTATCACTAGCATTCCACACCACGTGCAGACGTATCCACAATTCGGAGCGACTCCACTCAGTTTTGCACAGATTCCGAGAGTGCTCGTCCCGCCGCGGACACCCTACTACACGGCGATACCGTATGCCACGCCGAACCTCAACCTGCAACAGGGAATGCCATTCTTTAGACCGGTCAAATTACCTCGAATAGTGCAAGCTGTGAGCGCTCACTAATCACAATAATTGAATAATTTTTTAAAATCACATTCTTATTTAGGGCGCAAAATCTGATCTATACAAAATAACTGGTTACACTTTACATGGGTAAACTGATTGAGCTTCGTGAAAGGAAAACCCATGCACGATCACTCTTTTTGACTTTATTAAAACTCCTGGGTCAACCAACCCAATCATAACTTCAATGCTGCCGAGATATTTGCAAAACTCCAGACTCAGATCAAACCCATTGACGAGTGGTTGCTGATAGCAGTAATCGATAGAACTAACTGACAGACAGGGGCGAAGCGAAGGCCCCGCATGGTGTGGTAGTGAAAGCGTTAGCTCGCGGAAAGGGCAATAGCGAGTTCCTTACTCATCGCAGACATCTGCTGTCCGGAGTTTTGCAAATATCTCAGAATCTTGTGGTTGTATTTCGCAATATACCCTGCTATTAAAAAGAGTAAGTAGTAAGTAATAAGTTAAAATTGTGATTACAACCCAATCATGTTCTTTGCGATGAATTTTGGGCTAGACTTCGAAGAAACTAGTTTGTCTACGAGCTGAGAGTCATGGGCAATGTGCAGACTTTCTAAAACTTTGAATCCTATTTACCTATCTGCATTTGAATTTTACAACGTTCAAATGGAGATTGTCGTTAATTCAAAAAGACATGGGTTAGACCAAAAGTCAATATCTTGGCTCATCAAGCTTATAAGGGTGTTGTAAAAGCTTATTGCGGCCTATGTTTTGACGACTCGCCTTTTCTGAAACCACATTGATTCGACTCCAATGTCCTTAGGTCAAAGGTTTTGCTAACAGTTTTAAAAAATGTAAACGCCAAAGTTGGAAGGACGGCTTGGAATTTTCAGGAACGGTTTTGTGCCGTTAACGTCTGTATGATGAAAAGTGGGAATGAAAATGTCGAACGACAGATATGACGAACAAATGTGAAGGTTTAACTAGAATATAAGACAATTTAAAAGACAGTAATTAAATTAATTGACAGGTAGAGCAGTGAATTTTGTCTAATAGACACTTCAAGTGCTTGAAGACCTTTCTCATTATTTAACACCCTTTATAACTCCTAGAGAAGGATTTCATTGATGAAGCATTTATTCGCCTTTCAAACTCCTATTATCATAGACCACCTAGGTAATTCTAAGAACGGTCCGACGAACTAACTATTTCAGAGCCTCATGTGCAAGAAATGCAATTGTTGTTTACTCACACGAAAAGGCTCGTTTGGTCCAACAACTCTAGATGGAAAGAGTGGTAGGTGATCTTAAACAAATGACAAGCACTTGGCTTGAGACTCATCTCATAGTTCCCAGGATCGACTTTCTATTAACCTCGGCACTGGGTAGTAAATGCGTCGCTTTCTTGTTCTGCAATCACGAGGTTGATGACTCTCAACCATATGCGACTACAATTAGGTGTTCTCTTCTTCCTCAGTGGTAGACACGTAAAAAAATGGCTTTGAAGAAGACGATACTGCGGAACCGTCAGCTACTGTTGTATTGCATGTGATTTGTACAGAAGTAAATGTGTGCTGTATATCAACCTCGCGATTGCTGAACAAGAAAACGACGCACTCGTCTCATATTTGTAACTGGCTACTATCCTAAGTGAAAAGAGGGATTCGTTAAACTTCAAATTACCATCAGTATTTGGCGTATTCATGGCAATCATTAACACATACCAGACTACGCGTACTGAAGTGGGTCCGCACTTCTCCAGTGATTCATAGAAACTTTTTTAAAGCACTTTTTCTATTCCACCGGTAAACTGACCCGCATAGATGTTATTTTAAAATGTTCTTAACGTCATGACTTCTCTATCAGTGGAAAAGCTTGTAGCTTATTGTCGAAGACACCACCATTGTTTAAGTTGCGGACTAGCTCTTCTGTTTTTTAAGCCTCCAAGAAACCAAAGGTATGGTATAGGTAAAGGTCGCGTATATGTTTGGAAAAACAGGGTGTTATCGTAAACCGGCAGGTCTTTAGGTTGTGAAACACTACCAATGATTGATCTCTTTATTATTTCGTCCCTTATAACTTAATCAGTTTCAGATTGCTGCCAGTGCGAAAGTTGTAACAACAGGATCGGGGACAGTTATTCTGCCCCAAATCGTTCAGTTTACCCTTCTAGTACTCCAGCAATTCTACCTTTTGTTAGCCCTTTATCCCCATTATTACCTTCTGTTAGAAAGTCTTATATGAATCTACCAGGGTATCCAGCTCCAACCTCACCACTAGCACCTTCATTAAGTCCGATTATCGGCGGTGTTCCTGTTTATTCAACTCCATCACCGTATCCACCATTTATTCCTAACTACCCTTATCAACTAAAAGGTAGTGGTTATTCAAAGCCTTCACTCTACGAAACTATACCTCCCTCAACATCATACTATCCTGGGCCACCATTGCCGTTCCACTTAAAGAGTTTTCCTTATGCAGATAAATATGCTGTTTCTCCTACAGGGGGTGTGCCGAAAAGTGCTGACGAATCTGAATCCTACCTCACTGCGCCTCTGCTTACGCCGTTTCCCTTCTTCCCATGTGTGACTTCGGATCCTCCTCTACCGGTTGATCAACAGCTGAACAACTGTGACGGCGTGAAATGGTCAAAATGCTGCCGCATGTGTTGCATGTAATAACTTTTCATTTTCGTAATAAATTAACGCATTCACATCTGCATTCATGTGTTCCAACGCGCTTTCGACATCAACGTTCCGATGGTAAATCAAGTTTAGCTCCAACTTTCTAAGCACTGCTTTCAACTTGCTCAGATTGCACAATAGAAAGAAGTGCACGCGTTATTTTCCATGATAGCATCAGATATGATTGGCGAAGATAAGCGATGAGAAAATATGGAAATATCAAGCCATAACAAAAAGATGAAAGCAAACTGTACAACTGAACATTCTCACGGTTTATGAAAGCATTTATTCCGAAGTGTGCTGACATAGCAGCAAAACTCGGAACCTCAGATGAGCTGCACCGGTGATAGTACTCGAGCGTCCAGCAATCTCGAATCCGAAGCTCACCTGAGGTTCCCAGTTTTGCTCATGTCTCAGCATCCTTTTGGTTGTATTTCACGTAGCACCTTGCAATGAAGGAGGAATTAGCGGCAAATAAAAATTAAATGCTCCGAAAGTATTAAATACCAGCATTAGGTGGAACATTCAGCGGCATCATTTATATTATTGCACACTAGAGCGACGGTGAAAGGCTCCTTGAAAATTCTGCACTAGAAAAGAATTCACACTCCAGGACTTAGTTTTAGGTACTTAAGTGCTACATTGAAGTTTTGCAATACGTGGGGTTAAAACAGTGGAAATAATGTTTTTGATCTTTGAGATTCTAAATTTCAAGCTATGAAGCAGAAGAGAATTCTGAAAATCTGCACGATATGTAGAATCATTGGCTTACGACGACCAACCATGTGATCCCATCGTGGCGAAGGAGAAGTACTGTTTCTAAGCCCATTTCAAGTTGAATAAGTCAGATCCGTACCCTTCTTTGCTTGCGAGTTTGCTCATAGCAAAAAGCTGTAACAAAAAGTTGTATAAATACGTTTTCTTCCTGGCAACTTGTAAGATTCCTATTATTCAGCACCACAGCGTCACGCCCTTCAATAAAGCAATGGTAAGCTTGACCTTCTTTTGCACCTTTTGCTTGACTGTTGGCCGATGACAATGGGAGCAATTTTCAGCCATTGCACATTTACGAGTCCATGGTACGTTTTTCTCAAATGTATGTTCTTCTCCAAATTGAATACTATCTGATCATTTTTCATTTGCTGTTCCGCTTACCGACCAGGAGGAATCTCTCCACCATGGTAGGCAACGCTGTTTTTTCTTCATAATTCATATCGTTGATGAGTTAACATGGATTTTTATCAAGTGTTTTGTGGTCTTGCGCTCAACTGTCTCCCTGGATTGCTTGGCATGAAATCTTTTGTTTTCAGAAATATTGATTTGAAAAGTCCTGCATGTAGATTTCGACTAATTATGAAATTGTAAGGAACGGTAGCATTCCTTTCATATTTAACGCCTCTCCCATGTTCAACACTTGCGCTACGAGACGCTACGGACTACGAGTCTTTTGTAGGACTCATGCATTGGGAGACAATTGGCCAGTATGACCTCTGTAGAGATTATTTTGTTTTTCCGTGATTTTTTAGTGTAACCGTTTTCCTACACTTCTTGTTATCAATCGACTGTTTATTTAAGACAGATTTTGTACAGACATCGGATGAAAAAGTCTCTTCAGTGTACAAGGAAATATACAAAGACATATTTTCTCGAAGGGGTTCGTTGATCGGTAACTTGACTGGTGAATACTGTTACACCAATTCTACTCGCATAGCTATCGTATGGAATGTGCCGGTACGAAAAATACAGGAGTAGTCCGAATGTAAGCTGAAGAAAACAATTCCAAATGCTGACAACAATGTGTTTATATGACGGACCATAGTTACACATAGTGAGTAGCGGCACATAAACCACTTCAATCCGAAGAACCATAGAGCAAAGCGTTTCCTACGATAAGTGGTGCTCTCAACCTCCAAGGCTTTTGATTATCAAAATATTATCGTCTGTTGACGAAAAACCAATAGGCTCATGGACGTACTATATTAGGCATCGTCCATTGCGGTGGTCAAGCAAAGGCGTTGTTGCATGGTGGCAAATCTCCCTCTGATACACAAGGGCTGTGACTTCTTGTCGTGGTGACGACCTTGGGCAGACTTTGGCCAAGCTCACGTCGGAATTCCAGAGAACCAGAATTGTTTAAACAGGAGATCTCCGAAAAATGGGGCTGTTCAAGTATCAAGTATCACGCAGAATAATTTTGAAACTGTTCATGAAAAGGGTTTCCCTACTAAGAACACGACGAAAATGAAATACAAGATATACATTGTAAAAAATATCCGCAAAAATATTACACTAAATGAGATTTATAGATTAGTGATGTTCAAACTAGTCATTTGCAAAAGCTTCTTTTTCTAATATGGAAAATTTCAGCATTCCTTCACTCGGACAGAGTACTCGCACGAATATCCTCCAATCGTTACCAAACGATTGCACTCAGCAAATTCAGGTAAAAACAGAGGGAAGGTTTAGCAGCAATGCAGAAATTTATCCAAAGTTCCAAGTTTTTTCATTCATTCATGTGGAAAGAATGACTAGGAAAAAGGATATGAAGGCAAAAGACTCATGTTCGAAAATGAAATGTAGAATTCATGAAGAAAATGGAGACGGTATTATTACTATGATTACATACGATAAGAACAACACTACCAACTTTACAAAGCAAATGGTTCCTAATGTTTTCAGGCAACCGACGTAAAGTTCTCCTCAAATGTTCTCTGTTGTCCTGCGCTTAAAAAGGCAATGTACGTCTTTTGCTTAACATAAAAATAATAGATGGCAATAATATGGACAACTTATAGAAAGGTGGTTCAGAGGCTAAATATGGCAGTGTCGAACTCTATCTATCCCTGTACCTCTTATTCTGCTACTAGCCTTTTGCTGTCTTTCCACTTTCCTACTTTCTCAGGGAGCCCTAACTAGCATTGTAGACTAAAAGTAATCCGTTTAGCGTTGAATTTTCTACACCCTAATCAGAAAAGATCGAGCTTGTTTTTTACACTGTATCGAAGGCGTGGAGTCTGTTGCTGAAAGCGCTTAGAGCATGAAAAATAAGGAAGTAGAACCGAAGAACTATGACATAATAGATAGAGTGAGAAAAATGATGAAAGTGAAAAAGAAAGAAAGGAGAGTTAGAGATAAAAAAAAGACAAAGAGTTCTGTTTCGTAACCAACAACTGTTTAGAATATACCCTTAATAAAACGTGTGGGATGGATAACGTAGTGGCATTGATGTTGTCCGTCACGAGCACACTGCTAATTTGACCTTGTACCGGGCTCACTAAGCCCCTCATCCCTCTGGGGTTGAGAACTTGGCACCAGAATCGCCTGGTGATGGCCTACTGTTTGCAATTCAACTGAGAGCGCTCTGGCACAAGTATCATGGGACTCTAAGAAAAGTCAACTCGACCGGCATTTCACAACATTCATAACGAAATCGAAAAATTCCTCTACTGGTAGCTGAACCCGTAGGCAGAATGCTGGAAGACATTCATGGAAGATGGATGCGGTGAAACTAATTGGATGCAAGAAAGTTGCTTGGAGTTGATCGTGAACCGACCATGTGAAATGAGAAATATGTAAACACATACAAAATATAGCCTGGAAAACAATCTGTGATCATTTAAATCCCAAATTCAGGAAAGCCTTCTGCTTCATTACCCGCCCTTGCAGCCCAAGAATTGTCGATGGTGATTGCAAAGAAGCCTCCAACGCTCGTGTAGGTGTTTGGGTAGCAATACAGCACCATATTGCTTCCAAATGAAAGAGCTCATAGTAATTATGTTTATTCAGAACAAGGTCAGGTGTTGTTTTGTAAACAACGAACGAGATTCAAATGCAGTATTTAACAGCACATTTGAACCCGGTAGGTATGGTAGACACTTATTCACTATGCATTTTACAGTTCATAGTATATTTGCCAAAAATATCCTGATAATTGCCACGACCGACTTTCTATTAACCTCGGCATTGATCAAGTGATTTTCTTCGTATTTTTGTTGAGCAAACGCGAGGTGTTACTATTCTTTGTTCACGATTAAGCTGACGTTTCGGCTGATTTCACCTTCTTCAGAGGCTGGAAAGGTCAAGTTGATAGCAATCCACTCGGCCAGACGCCTCCATAACCAAACAAAGAAACTCCAAACCAAGATTTCAATCACTTTGAACACAGCTTTGCACACTCACCGCTTCCTATGAGGTTTCCACTAAGTATGTCACATAGAGACCAACCGCACAGAAATCACGTGGAAATGTGCCCCTCATATCAGAAAAGCAGTTTTGTATACTGCCCTATATCACGCGTGACAATGAGGCACTCTTCCCTGCGGTTCATTTTCGGATTTCTGGAATTAATCCAGAGTGCCTCGAGAGTTTTTCGCGCCTGTGTTCTTGATTCGCGTGCGAGGATCGTGACACATACTTCGAAGTCGTCCCCGTTATGTCTCTGGGCCCTATGCGTGCCTCGCGGGGTATTTGGTCTATTTTTGCCGGCTAGGTGTTCTTTCGTGCGGACACAGAGGGGTCTACCCGTTTCGCCAATATATTCGTCACCACACGTCTTACAGGAGATCAGATAAACTATACCCGAGCTCATGCAATCACCGTCTCTACCACTGGGGCAAATTATGCAATTTTGAGTTGCACATAGACGGTCATATAGGCGGTTACGAACTAGCTGGCGCTTAAGATTACTCGGTGGTATTTCAACTACGCTCACCGANAATCACGTGGAAATGTGCCCCTCATATCAGAAAAGCAGTTTTGTATACTGCCCTATATCACGCGTGACAATGAGGCACTCTTCCCTGCGGTTCATTTTCGGATTTCTGGAATTAATCCAGAGTGCCTCGAGAGTTTTTCGCGCCTGTGTTCTTGATTCGCGTGCGAGGATCGTGACACATACTTCGAAGTCGTCCCCGTTATGTCTCTGGGCCCTATGCGTGCCTCGCGGGGTATTTGGTCTATTTTTGCCGGCTAGG